GCTCCAGGCGACGCTGTGCTGACCTGACGACTCTTGGCCTGGACCCAGGCCCCGCGGCGCAGCCCCCGTGCGCTCCCGGGCCCGAGCCCGAGCCCTTCGGCTGCAGGCCAAAGGAGATCCCAAAGTTCCTGCAAACTCCGCCGGCTCGGTGCAATTCCCGCGGGCACAGGCGCGGAGTAAAGAAAGGAAGCGGGTGGGAAGCACCAGCTCTTAGGGATGTGGTTCGTTCGCTGCGGGCAGACGGGGATTTAGAGTTACCGCTTGCACGGCCCTCGGGCAGGCACCGCCCACGGTACAATCAGAGCCAGGTGTGCAGCAGGCGGGTGCTGTCGGTTAGCAATAGGATTGGCGGCGCATTTCCAGGCAACTGCAATGTGCTTCTAGGAGCGCCAGCCGCCCAGGGGACTGCAAAGGCTCGGGAAGGACAAAGATCCCCTCGAAATGAACTCCCCCGCGCACCATTTCTAGCGAAGAGTGTGGAAAAGGTGCGCGTGGATTGGGCTTTGATAACGTGGGGTGACAGAATCATCCGCCACGCCTAAAACTGTATTTGTCTCCTCAGCTCCAAAGCCAGGCTGAACAGGTGTGAGCGTGGTGAGATCGCTCTTCCCTGGCCAAGAGATCTCCCCCTTCATCTGGAGGGGGGGCTGGATTTGCTTCAGCGCAGCATGGCACCTTTTCTCCGCTCTGGGTACAGTGCGGGCACAGTGGGTACAAAGGCTTCATTGGCATCCCAAATACAAATGTGTTGTCTTAAATGTGAGTCTTCACATGAATCATTGTAAAGTGCATATTTATTTGTAGGCCTTATTTTGTGGCAAGCTGAAGTCAGCAACGTGACAGCTCAACCTCAGAGCGAGCCCTTTACACTGTATTAGTCCTAGGATTTGTTTGTATTTTATTGGTATTACTGCCGTGCTTAGAGCTCTAGCCATGGATCAGGCACCGTATAAACACAGAACAAGGACAGTCTCTGCCCCAAAGAGCTTCCCGGCTTGGCAAACTGACATCAGCTCACCAGAATCTTTCATTTTGAGAAGGGTTTTACTTTAAAAGATGATTTATGAACATTCCCACTGGCCTAAGAAAATGGAGATAATGTTATCACAGAAGGGCAGCAAAGTATGAACTATGTTTAAAGTGGTTCTTTAGGCTTGATTTGTACAAAAACATGAGTGACCTGTAAATAGCCAGATCCTTGTGCCATTCTTACAAGCTGCTTCTTGTGCTATTTAATGAAGGCGCAACACTAAACTGCCAATAAAAAGCTGCTCTTTAAAATTAGCTGCTCCCCAAATTGTTTGTTTTAGATCAACTTGAATGTGTTTATTTTGTATTTGTGGAATCACAGGGCTGAATCCTGCCCTGGTCTGCACAGTGCATCCTGTTCAGAGCCTGGATTCATAGAATTCAGGGCCAGAAGGGACTACAAGGTCATCCAGTCTGACCTCCTGTATTTCGCAGGCCACCAACCCCACCCAGCACCCGCATGCTAAGCCCAACTACTGAAAGGAGACCAAAGTCTTACAAGCACTGGAGACCATTATCTGCCAGAGGCAGAGAACTATGAGGCCCTGAGTGGCTGAGGCCCCTGCAGTCACGGAAATAATTCAGTGAGATACACCCTGTTAATCCTGGCAAGTGACTCACACCCACACGCAGCAGAGGAAGGCAAAAAATCCCCAAGGTCATTGCCAGTCTGACCTGGAGGAAAATTCCTTCCTGACCCCACATATGGTGATCAGTTAGACCCTGAGCCTGTGAGCAAGAACCAGCCAGCCATGCACCTGAGAGAGAGAACGCTCTGTGCCAACTCAGAGCCCTGGCCCTCCTCATCCAATGTCCCATCTCCAGCTGTGGCCATCCCTGATGCTTCAGAGGAAGAAGATAAAAACCTCTGCCAGAATACATTGGGGGAGAAAAACATTGGGGCTGAAATTAGGGTGACCAGACGTCCCGATAAAATCAGAACCATCCCAATTTTTCGGTGTTTGTCCCACATCCCAACCGATTTCTGGTCGGGACACAATTTGTCCCGATATTTCGCTCCGCTGGCAGTTTTTGGGGTTTTTTTTTTTTGTCTCCGCTGGCAGCACTCGGCTTTCAACCCATAATAGATTATTGCCAAATTCTAGAAATCAGCCCCCTGGCTAAGTAAGCAGGCAAAGGAGCACCAATGCCATGGCACAATGCACACTGGGTTGGATTAGGTCCCCAAAGTGAAAGGTTAAGAGGAATGCTCAACTCCAGCATGCATGTATGCTAGGGAAGGGGGTGGGGGGAGGGAAACTCAGCATGTTTTCACAGGGTTTGGACTTGTGAGTCCTCCATAAGCAGATCCCTTGCCAACCTCCCTAACCTGCCCTCTGGCTTGCTGGGTTCCAGTTCCTTAGCGAAGGCTTTTGTAGCAATGGGAGATGAGCTCAGCCTGGAGACCAGCATTGCACAGTGCAGATAGAGAGAAAAATGGATCCTTTTCCTCTACACTGCTATCTTGGATTCACTGCTGGAACTGATTTTTTTTTACTAGGTTCATTAGTCTTTGTATATTTTGACATCACTGGGCTCTCTGGGCAGCAGAAGCAGGTTAGCACTGTATAAGATATCAAGTATCAGGGGACAGCCATGTTAGTCTGTATCCACAGAAACAACAAGGAGTCCAGTAGCACCTTAAAGATGAACAGATTTATTTTGGCATAAGCTTTGCATGCATCTGAAGAAGTGAGTTTTTTTACCCACGAAAGCTTATGCCTAAATAAATCTGTTCGTCTTTAAGGTGCCACCGGACTCCTTGTTGTTACGGTATAAGATGGTCCCTCAAAATGGGCTGAATAGCTGACTAAGGGCAAGGGGAAGAGGAAGTTTTCCCAGTGAGATGTTATCTGGCAAAACTGTATGGTATGTACCCAGTCTGCAACCTGCACACTACTACCACTCTTCTGGCCCACACAGCCAGCAACACCTGAATAGTTCATCTCTGAAGGTATTTACATTTTGGCTTCATTTTTTTTAATGTTTATTGAAAATATTTAAAATATGAAGCACATCAACATACACCTGTGTAGAAGAGGCTTAATATTAGAGAGCATTGGCACAAATTAAAGTCACCCCAGGCTTGCAAATCTGGCAACCTTTAAAAAACAGTGTTTAGGACAGGGCTGGGCACATACACTCTATACTCACTAACCCATTGGTAAAAAGCAACAGAGGGTCCCGTGGCACCTTTAAGACTAACAGAAGTATTGGGAGCATAAGCTTTCGTGGGTAAGAGGGGAACCTCACTTCTTCAGATGCAAGTCACTGGTGTGGACTTCACAGTCACAGAATGTTGTGCCTGTGCTTGTGACTAGTCAAACCCGTCCCCTGGCCCCTACATCTTATTGTCTAACAGTACTGATCTCACACTGGTGCTGGTTAATACATGAAAAATCTGATCCTAGCTCATTCCATGTTAGAAATCCAAATACTCCTTTTAATCCAAGAATGTAAAAATAATAACAAAAGCAGAAGTCCAGATGTATTTTGGGAGTAAAGGGATACACAGGGTGAACACAAAGTTTGGACCTAATTTGCAATTTCTCATGATTGATTATGAACGAAAGTCTTCGGTTTCTGAGGTACCAGAGGGATTTTTGTGTCTGAAACTGGGAACTCTTCAGCACCTGAAGCCTAGCACTGCTCTGACAGTGCGCTAGGTCAGTGCAGACAGACGAGCATCTGACTCACTCGGAGATGGATCAATTGAAGCTTAGTTTCGTGCATCCTGCTATTAGGAAGGAGTGTTTGCAGCGTGGACTGTTTTTAAGAGGAAACCCTCGTCTGTTGTGCTGTGTGAAGCAGGCTGGCGATTATGCCATCAAGACTGTGTAACAAACCAGCGGTATTTTGGCCCCGGTGCCCGGGCATTTTCAATGAGTGACTGTTCCTAGGAGAGCTGAGGACGGGCAGCTCCGGAGCAGCGCCACGTGTTGGCAGAGCCTCTGACAGCACCGACATAGGGTGACCAGACAGAAAGTGTGAAAAATCGGGACAGGGGGTGGGGGGTAATAGGAGCCTATATAAGAAAAATGCCCAAATATCGGGACTGTCCCTATAAAATCAGGACATCTGGTTACTCTAGTGCTGAGAGATGAGCAGGGCCGTTCTCCGGAACCCACCCCGTGGGAATGGCGCTCTCCGGGCCAGGCAGCGCCCCGCAGCAGTCCTTGGCCCCCGCCCGGGGAGAGCTGCCGGCCCGGCCCAGCCAGTCACTGCGCCGCACGGAGGCTTGCAGCCAGCCACGGGAGGGCACTGGCATTGCAGCCATTGCAGCGGGAGACGCAGGGCAGCAAAAGGCAACACGTTCCTGGTGTACAAATGCGCGGACCTGGCGTTATGTAACAGCCTAAAGCGCCTGCCCTGCTTTCCCCAAATCCGCCTGGGGCAGTAGCGCAGGACGCGGCCCAGGGGGCGCAGCTCAGACCGAGACAGTGTGAATGGGAGAAAAGAGCAAACAGGCTCTATAGCGCCCGGCTAGCTCAGTCGGTAGAGCATGGGACTCTTAATCCCAGGGTCGTGGGTTCGAGCCCCACGTTGGGCGCGAGCTTTTCTTTTCCTCTCACCCGCGACCCGATTAACTACAACCCGCGCGGGTTCAAGGCCTGGGCTCGGCCCGGCTCCGGCTCGCGGTGCTAGCGCGGAACACGGACCGTGCAAGACAGGCGCTGTTGTGAACACTGGTGCAGCCGGGCGACGGCCTCCCCCCCGCGCACCGGGCGCACGAGCAGCGGGCAGGGGCCCAGCCGGGCGCTGCAAGCCAGGAGCCGGAGCCGGGCCAGCCCCATGCGCACCTCCCTGGAGCAGGGCAGGCCAGACAGCCCCGGCCGGGGGCGACGGGCTCTCCCGCCCGGGGAGGCGCTGGCTGTGCAAGGCCAGCGATGCCCGCCCGTGGCGCGGGGCTCAGCCCGCCCAGGACTACAAATCCCAGCATGCCGAGCGCGGCGGCGCGCATGCGCGGGGCTGGCCGTTATAATGCGGCGGAGCGGGCGAGGCCCCGCTGGGAGGGGCGGGGTGGGAGGAGGGAGAGTCACTTATAAATGGCGCCCAAGCAGGACCCCAAGCCCAAATTCCAGGAGGGTGAGTGCAGGGCGGGGTGCAGGCCCGGGGCGGGGGGGAGAGACCCGGAGAGCTGTGTGCAGCGGGAGGTGGGGGGCGGGTAGCGGTGATGAGGGGCTGGGAAGGCCCCTGGGGCTGGCGGGTGCAGGGGGAGGCTGCCTGGCTGGGCTGGGGGGTGCAGTGGGGGAGGCTGGCTGGTCTGTGGGTGTAGGGGGAGGCTGGATGAGCTAGTGGGTGTGGGGAGAGGCTGGGTGGGTTGGGGGGTGCAGTGGGGGAGGGGAGGCTGGCTGGGCTGGGGGTGATGGGTGGGGCTGGCTGGGCTAGGGGGTGCAGTGGGGAGGGGAGGCTGGTGGGGTTGTGGGTGTAGGGGGAGGCTGGCTGGGTTGGGGGAGGCTGGCTGAGCTTGTGGGGGGAGGCTGGGTGGGTTGGGGGGTGCAGTGGGGGAGGCTGGCAGGTGTGGGGGGAGGCTGGGCTGGGGGTGCAGGGGTGTGTGGCTGGTGGGGATCCTGCAGCCAATCCATGCTGTAGTATTGTACAGAGCTCTGGGTGTCTGAACTGGGGAAGGCCCTTTTTAATCTCCTGGCTGCTGTTTATTTCTCCAACGTGCGGGGAGGGGGGACCTAAAAGGAAATGATGGTTCTCTTTAAAAAACAAACCAAACCCATCAACCAACTGCTGCAGTTGTTGTAGGGGAGGCCACTCTCTCTCTCTCTGCTTTGTGCCGCTTGTATGCACTTTGTATCTGAGACTACTGATTTGTGGACTATGGGGCTGAAATACAGCCTCCAAGGCCAGTTATGACCCAAGGAGATGACACAGCCCGGCAGGTGATGATAACTCTGAGTGGCCTTGCAGCATGGATCAAGGTGGATGGTTTCCTGCTGGAAGCAGTCTCCTCCCGAAGGGTAGTTGCAGTATGTGTACTCCATTTTACAGAGAGCTTGCCACTCCTTAGCAATCCTTCAATGAGGCCTTTAGCTATGCAGGATTTGGGCTCCATGACATAATGGTACCTGAGGGCACAGAGGACCTTGAGGATGTTAAAGCTCCCTGGAGCAGAGAAAGGGTTAGGAAATGACTGTTTGGTTTTTTTCATACTTCTCAACGCTCTCAGCTCACGTGTGAGACTCTGGAGTTTTTCCTTTACTCAAAATATGCTTGATTTTTGTTTTTCTCATAGGTGTGTATCAAAGCACTCCCATGGACATCGGTGGGCATTTAAGCCATTGAAAGATTTTTTTTTTTAGTAGGACTGTCAAGATTTTCCCTTCTTGAGGTTGAGAAGTATGTTTACTTTGTTACTTAAAATATCTTTATAAAATAGCCCAATTAGGGATCTTGAATCTTGCCTTATGACGTAGTCTTTATAAGTATGGCTTAAGGCTATTGTAAAATACCGTATGCTGATTACTGTAACACTGCTATAGCTATGGTGGTCTCTGTTCATAACAGAGCCCCTGTTTTTTGAGGCATTTAATGTTTTAGGGCATGTCTACACTACAAAATTAAGTTGACATAACTTACATCGGCGTGCAGTTGCTGCAGTAATTACATCGCTTGTGCATATCTACGCTTTGCTCTTTCTGTCAGTGGTGCGCGTCCTCACCAGGAGCGCTTGTACTGATTGTACTGTCAGTGTGGGGGATTGTGTGATGGCTTCTGAAAGCCAGTAACAGTCGATATAAACAACACAGTGTCTATACTGACACTGCATTGACTTAACTACATCAACATTGGCTCTGTGCCTCTCATGGAGGTGGAGTTAAGTAGGCGTAGCAGGGCAGTTATGTTGTTGGGAGCGAAATTTTAGTGTAGACGCTTATATAGTTAGGTCAACATAAGTCAGCTTATCTCTGTAGCGTAGACCAGGCCTTAATTCTCATCAGGCTGAAACATGACATACACATTTCCATGAAAGATTCAACTTACTCCATAAAATCTGGTTTCAAAATAGGTGGTGGTTTTAGAATAGACAAATGACAACTTTTGGGGTATATTAAGCTTTGTTGGCTTCAGAGATAAATTTTGCACAGCACTGAAGTCTATCCTTAGAACTATTGCAAAAGAAACATAACCTGGCCAGTTAAGAACAGTAACTTTGGAAAAACCATAATTATACAGGCTCTGTAGTCATTTCTGTAAAACAGGGTGGCCAAGGTTACTGGTCCTCCGAGCCGCATACAACAATCTTCAGAAGTTTGAGAGCCGGGGCATGCCAGCTGGGAGCCAGGGTTTGGGGTTTCAGCCCCACTCCTACTGAAGCCCCAAGCCCTGGCAGGTGCGCCCTGCAGGGTTGAAGCCCCAAGACCCCGCCTTACCACTGGACAGAAGCCCCTACCCCACTGCAAGACAGCCCTGGGCAGCGAGGCTTAGGTTACAGGACTCCTGCCCAGGGCTGAAATCCTTGGGGTTTGGCTTTGGCCCCCCCGTGGGGCTTGGGTGGGCTCAGGCTTTGGTCCCCCCTCCTGGGGTCGTGTAGTAGTTTTGGTTGTCAGAAGGGGGTCACAGTGCAATGAAGTTTGAGAACCCCGGCTCTAGTTTATCTGTAGACGGAATCCTGGTGGGGATGGCGAGAGGGGAGAGTTCTCTTTAGCTTTTTATAATGGATTCACTAGGATTTAAGAAAATGAAATATTTTATTGATATTTAAATGTGTAATCTGAAAGACTGGTAGGTTTTTTTAAATGCACAGATTAAGATGTATTTGTATAGGAAAGAGAAGTATTGTAAGTCCTGATGTTGTGAATTTCTGGTGTAGTGTATAATATGCCACATTTTTATTTTAGCTTTAGAAAAGCTGACACCAAGTGATCTTTAAGAATTTCTCCTGATTTTAGCAGTATTTATTTATCACTTTTTAAAAAGCAGATTTATCTTGCAAAGTTGTCTTTTGCATTGTATCTTGTCCATCCTGGATCCTGATCCAGCAAGTGGCATTTTATTGAAACCTCGTTGAAGTCAATGGAAAGACTTCACTTAGAGTTGGATCAGGTTGTTAATGTATATGTTAGAATCCCATGGACTACATGAGACCTTCCACATGTGAAATTAATGCAGCATTAAACATTTAATAAACCTGTTAATCCTGCAAGGTGTGTGGAGTTTTTTGTTTTGGCTTATCTGGAGCCCAATGGAAGCCGAGATTGTGCCTTGTGGGCAGAAGAACTTGCAGGCTCTGGACAGCAGCATGGACTGACCAGCTCTAGCTTGGAAACTAGGAGCAGCATTACTAAGCAACAAAACCACTTGGCATAGTTTGGCATCCAAGAATGTTGACCAAGCATGCCTGGTTCTCTCTTGAGAGCCATTTTGGCCAAAAAAAAAGGCTCCATTCAAAAATGTCTGACTTTTTTTGTTTTTAGGAGAGCTGAATAAATAAAGGAGGTGTCTCACTGTAGTGCGCCTTGTCGTGTCTATATACTGTAGAGAGATGATTTGGAATTATTTTGATCTAAGCTAGTGTTGGGGAAGGCTATGGTAAATTTCTTTCTAATGTGTTTTCTTTGAGTGTGACCTGTGGTTGTGGGGGAGGAGGTTTGTTAAACTTTCTGATTTCTCAGTACTGGGTGTCTTGCAGAAATAGTGCTACAGAATGTTCTTGGTCTGTATTTATGTAAAGAGCCTAACTCCTCTTAAACGTAGGCAAAATGTTCATTTTTAAGAACAAGTAAACGAGGCTTGTTTTCCAGCAGTGTTAAACAGTGCAAAATAGAGATGAAATAGTGTAGTTATAATTTTTAAATAGCTAGTCTACATGCTGAGTAACTGGTTTTAAGATTAAATATTTATAATGGAAAACACATTTTAATAAAAATATACAAGAGACTTCAAAGCGGGTACTTCCTCTGTGCAAAATATTTTTTAAGCTGGTGTCTGGTGTCAAACCAGTCTTGGCAAGCCACTTCCATACAGATTTTTTTCTTAACGTAACTCTGTAAAGAAACTGCTTTATCTTGAATTTGCTTTCTTGTAAGTGTATCTTTTTTCTGACCCACTGTGGGCATGAAATCCCGCTGATTAGTATTTACAGTGAACTCTCCAAATCTCTTATCCTACTGCTGTATTGAATCTGGTAATAAAGTATTAATTGGAAAAGCGGTTTAGTAAATTGATCATTAAATATTTGGTGCAGTTAAAGGTTTATTAAAACCGGCTTATTCTGTAGGCATAAAGGAATGGCAAACAAAGCTAGAAATGGCCTTCTTGAAAAAGGAAGGGGATGTAGGGTACTCAGTAGTGGACTGTAACCCAGTAAGTTATTGATACAGCTTAATTATTTTGGTATGCAGAACCGGTCACCAGTGTAAAGGGTGTGACCTTTATTATAAGGGAGTACTGTACAGGAGGAAACATCTGCCCTCTGAGAGCTTATGTTAGATAAATTAGACTTCCACTTTATAAACAACTGCACAATGTGGATCTTATAGCAGCTGAAATCCTGATTGTCAAACAATCTGTTCAAAAGTGAAACAGCCTCTTCCCCCTGCAATGCCCTCATTCAGCTGTACTTTTTTTTGCTCCTTTGGGGAGGGGAAGAATCTGATGTCATTATATCTGGTTTTCTTTAGTTTGTTTTTGCAATAGAAATGTCAGGTCCTGAGTTTCCTCCAGGAAAAGGAAAACTCTTTTATTTAAATATTAGGCTTCTATTGCACCATAATTTTAAAATGAGACGTAGGTTGGCTGGCTTGATAGATAAGAGAGCATCATGTTCCCTTTCTCAAAACAAAATGAAACTGAGCCCTCTAAAAGAATCTAAGTCTGTTGCAACAAGACTGACCTGTTTCTGCTGTGCTATTTACTGCTTGTACATTCAGGTTGAAATTCAGTCCACTCCTGTAAAGCCAGAGTATTAGCGCTCTATCCAGTTAGAAGGCAGAGAGGCTAGACAGGTAGAATCCAGCCCAGAACCAGGGTATAGGGCTGCTGGACCACTCCCTCAAAGCTGGTTCCCCAGCCTGTGGGCTGGAATAGAGAGCGGGTTCTGTGCCATTTGCATCCATTCTGTATCTGCATCAACAGCTGTCGGGGCAGCCCAGCCCATACAGCGTGGCCTTCAGTGCCAGCCCGTGCAGAGGTTGTGCAGAAGTCCTTCTTGCAGAGCACAGGGGATATGCAGGCACCCGCTGCTCAGCAGGCAACCCCTTTGCACATCCCCAATGTGCGGCTTAAATGGTGCAGAGAGCCTTGAGCTAACCCTCCACTCATCTTCTATTTTATAAGCAGGTGCTTTTTGAAGTGATTGCTTTCTAGCCTGACAGTGTGTAGGTAATATGCTGCCACTGGACAGTCTCCTAGCACAGCACTCTTAGTGGCGTTTGGTTTCCTGTGTTCTTTTGTAAAATGCATGTCTTCGTATGCAGTATTGTTTGTCAATATGACTAATCAGATGGCTATTTGCAAACTTTTCCAGGTGAACGAGTGCTGTGTTTTCATGGACCTCTCCTTTATGAAGCAAAGGTATGTCTGGGTTCTCATTTTTGCAGATGACAGCAAAAAACATTTACATAATGAACACGTTAATTGAACGGATTAAAGTAGCCTATTGGCTAAGTACTAGATTGGATTGAGTCAAGAATTCAAGCGAAACTGAGGAGAGAATCGAAGAAAAGAAAATACTATCAAATTACTTTGCTTTTTGTAAGAAACCTGCAGTTTTACAAACTGTGAAGCACATACATTTGTTGCATATTGATATTTAGATTAAAAACTTGCAAGATAAAGGTGTAATGGTAGTAAGTGGGAATTTGATGCAGTATGACTGACACGGTCAGTGGACCTAGGCATGTGTGTAAAAACGTGAAAAGATTTCACCAAATGTGAAATGGAATATACATCATGTAGACTCCTACTAGAATTCTGCTATTTCTAAATATGCTCTCAGATTCTAAGGAGCGTGTGTATGTATTAATATATTAGAAAATAAAAAATTGAAAATTGGGTTGGCTTCCAGTTTGGCCTCCCGTTCATCATGAATATCATCTCTTAATACTTTAATCTATCAGTTGTTAGATACAACACTGAATTGTCTTAGGTCACTGAAGCCCCCTCTGTGCACTTACCATGTTTCTAGTAAGATCAATTTCTAAGAGAAATTTTCTAGGCTCTAAGGTTGCTTGTAAATCTGTGTAGGTGGGGTCAAAATGATACCTAATTGCTCCAAGGGAGAATGAATAAAAAAGCTCTGTCTTGTACTAGGACAAAATGAGGTGTGGTGGGAGAGGTTTAAAAGGATATTCTAAGGCAGATCAGGACTACAATGTGGTTTATGCAGTGAGATTACTCATATTCCAAATGTTTTCTACCCTTTTTTTTATGGGTAGATGTGGGTGAGGAGCCAGTTCTCCTCAATACGTACCAGTCAAAACCCAGTTTATACTACTGCTGTTGAATTAAATCATAGTGTGACTTATGTTCATACTACCCCTATTTTTAAAATGTTATGTGGTTGTTAGAGAACAGTGCTGATCCTGCTGAAGATGGGGCTAGAGAAAGGGAGGCTTGTCATTGTCGTTCTGTCTTATGTATTCCGTTCAGATAGGTTCAGGATTTGGTTTACAGAGACCTCAGCCTGCTTAGTACCATGACGCAAACACCATTAAAAATCCTTTTAATCTTTTATTGAAGATATAGAAAAAGAAGGAAAAATAATTTAAAGCATTTGAATTATAAAGCCTTAAATAAGGCTTTCATTTGAACATCCCTTGCTCCTTTTCCCTTTAGAAAGAAAAATGCTCTTGTTTGACAGTCCTAGATGGAGTTAAAGATGCTAATAACTGTCCTTTTGGGGGGGAAAGAGAAGACGTTAGTTGAGATGGTGGTTGTTTAAAGTCTGATTCTGCTTCCTAGAACACACGAGAAGAGAGATAGAAAATGCAGCTTCAGTCTCTGGTGCCTGATGTCACTTGCAACCTCACTGTTGGCAAAACAGTCAGAATACGTGGTTTTATCAGCCACTCTTGAGACCTGGCAGATTTTTACCCTCATGGGCTGGTTAGGGCTGCATTTACTGTCTTTTCGGTCACAGGCTCACAGTAATGTTGCAAAAAATGCAGTCTTTGCTGGCTAACCAGACTCTTATTGAACAGAAGGTAAAAGAAGAGGGATCGGAAAGAGAAGGAATAAAGTGGGGAAAGAAGAACATGGAGGGGGAGGAGGGTGGAGGAAGAGATGAAGTCTGACACATTAGATGGTGGTTGAGATTCACCTGGAGCCTGTGGAGGTGGCAATGTCACCTGGATCCCTCTCTTGGCCTGGGCTGGTCAGGTGCCATCAGGATGCCAAATGCCCAACAATGGCACAGTGGATTCCAGGGTCCCAGGAGCCTGTGGGAGTAACAGCTATTATGGTAATGCTCGCTCCTTCCCTTCTTTCAGTCAGCAGTTGTTGCACTCGTCCTCAAATTATCCCCAAACCTCTGGGGGTTTTAAGGGCCCCACAGATAGTGATGGGTGGAATAACTCATCCCTTTGTTGTTTTGTCCCCCAGCAGGCCTAATTTCAGACACCAATTTTAGGTCCCACGCTTTTCTGGTTTACCAGTCATGAGCTTAACACAGTCCTGGAGTTAGATCAGGAGGCTGCTTTGATTGGACTAATTCAGTCTGTCTCCCTTTTGCACCTTTTCCCATCAACATTTATCGTTCTATGTGACTGGAACACTTTGTAAACATTTATCCACTTTCCCACAATTGAGCTCACAATTAGGGTGAATTTCTAAGCCCAGTTATTACAGCAGGTTCAACTGTTTGCAATGCCATGGTAGCTTAGCGCTAGGGTGGCATGGCTTTACAGACTTTCTGTTGACCTTAATGAGAGTTGAGGCACCTATCACTCTGTGGGAGGCATTAGCATGTCACGAGATTGTGTCCTAATGCTGATGCATGACTATTATGCTAATTTGAGCTTCATTAGGAATGCAGAGGCTAAATAAAATCCATGTTCATCAGACAAGACAAAATTGGAACTGAGACCAATTTTATTTCTCAACAGTCTGAGAGGTGGCTATAGATGCTAGATTAAATTTAAAACAAACTTGATTGACAGTGTCCTCATAAAAATTGGAATATGAGTGTGTTAATCTCAGGAACTAAGCATTAGGCTTTGTTCCTAAAAGAAAATGTACGTGTTTCATATGCAAGTCTGAGTTTGCTACATTTTATTAATTTTTTTAAACTATTTGGTTTGTCTTCACTTGATGCCATTGTGCAGTGTCATCTGACTATTTAAAAGTTCTGTCCCTGATCTGTTTGATACTGGCTAGAACTCTGTTTTCCTCTTGAACCAAGAAGGAGCTGTAGGCATATTGGTTGGGGGATTATGTAGAAGTTTTCTTGAGATATTTAGTTTATGCTTAGACCTACCAGGAACCTGATGCTCTAATTTAATAGTTTTTAGTATCAGTAAAGGCTAATTGGAAAAAATTACTATAGGGAGGACTTGATTGGAATAGAGTAGGTAAAGGGAGACTGTTAAAAAATGTCCCAAATTTTCTTTATGCTATCTAGAAGTGATCGTTGTAATGTAGTAAACATTTTCAAGAGTACCTCTCTATCAGTGAGACTTTAGTTTGCTGTTTAGAGTGTATCTCATACAGCTAAGACACTAAATCTTTATTTCTTTAAATATTGGGCTGACAAAGACTAACATGCAACGGATGCAAAATTTAAAGCAGTAAATTTATTCTAATAATCTGTTGCATTTTATTTAGTCTGTTTCATCCCTTCTCCTGGCAATTGAAGATGGGCTCATTTTGAATGTGTGCACTTGGGTCCAGATTGCCTCCTGTGGCTGTGTTCTTCCTGACACAGCAGAGGGGAGGTGATGGCAGGGAAAATCATTATGGCTTTTTAATTGAGGGCCAGTCTCTGCTGCCACCAGTCCAGACTCCTCTGTCAGTTGGAGCAGCTTGTAGGCTGTTCCATCTTATGCCACTGTTGTGTGATCTCTTGTGCATCACACACGCACAGCGTGTGATCAGCATAGCTCTTCTCTCCCATGCTGCACAATATATCCCCTATGCAGGGGTGAGGTGGATGGTGCAAGAACTGTCTGCCAGAGTAATTCCTGCTGCCCACTTACAGCCAGTATCTGACCCCTTTGTGCTCCCTGAGTGGCACAAAGAAGATGCATCTTAAGTGAGAATTTAGTCTGTAGCCTATGGTATGTAGTAGCCTTGATTTCCTCTCCTCCCCCGCCCCCCGGTTTCTTTAGTCTACTATTTTATCCTTCTATGCTCTTCCACACTCCCAGCTGTCTTATATAGGGAGATGGAAGGAATGATTTTTCTCCATAATTGAGACCAATGCAGCCTGTTTCCATAAAAGGAGTAGTTGGTAAGGAGAATACTGCAGTCCACAAAATTTGCCCTTCTGATTGACTTGAATCATCTTGCTTGCCTTTTTCATTCTAATCTGTGTTCTTCACTTAAATGGTTTGTAAACTTCTCTTTGGGATGAATGATTGTTTTTAAATCATAAATGATCTGGAGAAAGGGGTAAACAGTGAGGTGGCAAAGTTTGCAGATGTTACTAAACTGCTAAAGATAGTTAAGTCCAAAGCAGACTGTGAAGAACTTCAAAAAGATCTCACAAAACTAAGTGATTGGGCAACAAAATGGCAAATGAAATTTAATGTGGATAAATGTAAAGTAATGCACATTGGAAAAAATAACCCCAACTATACATACAATATGATGGGGGCTAATATAGCTACAACAAGTTAGGAAAAAGATCTTGGCGTCATCATGGCTAGTTCTCTGAAAATGTCCATGCAGTGTGCAGAGGCGGTCAAAAAAGCAAACAGGATGTTAGGAATCATTAAAAAGGGGATAGAGAATAAGATGGAGAATATATTATTGCCCTTATATAAACCGATGGTACGCCCTCATCTCGAATACTGCGTACAGATGTGGTCTCCTCATCTCAAAACATATATACTGGCGCTAGAAAAGGTGCAGAAAAGGGCACCTAA